TTACTGTTTCTCTACTGTTATTCTCTAAAGAGCCTATGTTCACTCCTGATCTCTCTCCTGATCACTAAAACACTCTCCCTGTTCCGGTCACCTCAAACACTAGGCCAGCTTCATTCCCCAGAATTAGGTGCTCTACGACACTGTCCCTTGTTGGACCATCTCCATGTTGATAAAACTCTCCTGAACACGTTTCAAGAAATCTGTCCCCTGTATTCCCTTTACACCATGACTATCCCAATTAATGCTGGGGAAGTTTAAATTTAATATAATGATCCTGTTATTGTTTTTATAAACACCTCAGTGAATTGTCTACATACCTGCTCCTCTATTGCCTCTGATTGTTTGGGGGTTCTATAATATATGCCCAACAGTGTGTCTGCCTTTTTTTTATTCCTAAAATCTATCCACAAAGTCTCAATTAATCACCCTCCCAATGACTGTTTCTGCTCACTGCAGTAGCTAACTCCTTAATTAATAATGTAACTCCACCTGCTCTTTTACACCATTCCCTGTCCTGCCCAAAGATCCTACAGCCTGGGATATTGGGTTGTTAGTCCTGCCCCTCTGTCAGCCATGTCTCTGAGATGGCAACAACATCACAATCCATGCCCTTAACTCATCTGTTTAACCAATAAAACTCCTTGAGGTCATCCAGCCTTGCCTTACTGCCTTGAATCTCAACGTGGCTGAACTGCCTCTGCCTTGGTTCCTTTTCAGGAGAATTCCAAAGAATAGTGACTTCCAATGGAACTCCGCCCTCACCTCCGTCTTTGTTTAGAAGCCCCTTGTGTTCCATCACTTTCCCTTTCTGTTGGTGATGTCTATCCACAGCCAGCGAGGACAGCAGAGACTGAACCCGGGTTTGTGTTCTTTCCTCCAGGGCGGAGATGGGGAGCCGGGTCCCAGGGGACAGCAGGGAATGTTCGGACAGAAAGGTGACGAAGGACCACGCGGATTCCCTGGTCCACCCGGGCCAATCGGTCTTCAGGTAATCCCACAATAACAATAAAACCGAAACTCCAGGGAGGTGCTGATGATCAGACACAGAGAATGCTGGAGATACTCACTAGGCCTGGCAGCATCTGCAGAGAGACAAAAGAATTAACTTTTTGAGTCTGGCATCACTTTTTCAGAACTGAAAGGGGTCAGGACTTTTATTGGTATTTTACACTTTTGGAAAAAGGCAGAGGATCAGATAGAACATCTGGAATGCTCTGGGATAGGTTCAAGGGTGAGAGAGATTAAGTACCAAAGGTGTGATGGAACAGAAGACAGGGGTGAACATGGCTGGAGCTAAGGCACACAGCCTTGGTCCGAGACTCACTGGCTGATGAAAGGACATCTCTGTTGAAATCGAAAAGAAACAGGAAAACAAAACAAACACTGGCATTTGGCAGGAGGCCAAGAACAGAAATGTGAAATGTGAAAATCAGGTGGAGAATTCAAATGTCAGCTGGAAGGTCAGAGCTAAACGAATTATACACAGTGCCTGTAATCTCATTAAACATCCCTTTGTGGATCACTCGAGCATTCTCCAATCAAATTGAACATCAAGACAAGACAGGAAATGGCTTGATGTGACCCAAAGTTCAGTTGAGGAAGGAGCATTGATCAAAAGGAATGAAAAATGTAAGAGAGAGGGGGACAGAGAGAGAGAGAGAGAAAGAGGGGGACAGAGAGAGAGAGAGAGAGAGAGGGAGACAGAGAGAGAGAGAGAGAGAGAGAGAGAGAAAGAGAGGGACAGAGACAGAGAGGGGGGAGACAGAGAAAGAGGGATTCAGAGACAGAAAGAGAGGGGGACAGAGAGAGAGAGGGGGGGTCCAGAGAGGCGGTGGGGACAGAGAGAGAGGGGGACAGAGGCAGAGAGAGAGGGGGGCAAAGAGATAGGGGGACAGGGACAGAGAGAGAGGGGGACAGAGACGGGAGGGGACAGAGAGAGAGGGGGACAGAGACGGGGGTGGGACAGAGAGAGAGGGAGAGTCAGAGACAGAGAGAGAGGGGGACAGGGACAGAGAAAGAGGGGGGCAGAGACAGAGAGAAGGGCACAAAGAGAGAGGGGGACAGGGACAGAGAGAGAGGGGGACAGGGACAGAGAGAGGGGGGATGGAGGGGGAAACAAAGAGAGAAGGAGTCAGACAGAGAGAGAGGGGGACAGAGACAGAAGGTGGGGACAGAGAGAGAGGGAGTCAGAGACCGAGAGAAAGAGAGTCAGAGAGAGAGAGGGGGACATTGAGGGGGGCAGAGAGAGAAGGGGACAGAGACAAAGAGAGAGGGGGCCAGGGGGTGGAAACAGAGAGAGGGAGTCAGAGTCAGAGACAGAGAGAGAGGAAGACAGAGACAGAGAGAGAGGGGTCAGAGATGGAGAGAGAGGGGGACATAGAGGGGGACACAGAGAGAGAGAGGTCAGAGACGGAGAGAGAAGGGGACATAGAGGGAGTCAGAGTCAGAGAGAGAGGAAGACAGAGACAGAGAGAGGGAGAGGGGGACAAAGAGAGAGAGAGAGGGGGACAGAGACAGAGAGAGAGGGGGACAGAGAGAGAGAAGGGGACAG